CCCCCACCCTTCCCCAACCTGTCTACAATGAATTTTTACTAAAACGGTAGTGCCTAGGAGGGGGGGGCGCCTACTACTACTACTACTACTACTACTACTGCTACGACTGCTACTAGTACTAGGGCTGGTGACGGTGGTGGGGCAGTGGCTGTGGTGGCCGCGGCGTTGGTGGCGATGGCCGTTAAACAAAACTGGCACTGTGAGCACATGGGGTTTGCGAGCGCCGCGCAAGCAAGGTGCGCGAAAACGGCAGACCTGGCCAGGAAGCGAATACGTGTCAAATCAGCGTCTCCTAGGCATCATCAGTGTTACAAGCCCCTGAAAATCTATTGCTTGCCAAATAATTCCTATCTTCCAAAGAGCAAGCAACAAAGGACAAACAAAGGACAAAGGCACCGGCATACCACGCAATGATGATGCGAGGATTGAGACATATGGAGACAACTCGAATAGCGGGCAACAATGCGTGCTCATGGTGCTGCCTACCGGTGACAGAAGCTGAAACACCAGCTGCTTTGTTGAGCACATGCCTGAGGAGCTCCTCCAGTGAGGCCCAAGGAAGCACAGTGCCAGAGAATTGTGCTTTTTGAGCTTACATCATCGAATTCTTGGGCTTAGGTCGTTCGGGAGCTTTGCCCGCGGTTGGAGCCGAGAAGACCTTGCCAAGGCAGCCACACCAACACCTCGGAGTTGCAACAAAGTGCAGCAACCAGGCAACCGCTGCTTCACGCACAACACTGCGTACACTGCGTGGAGCATCCTAGGAGTTGAGCACACTAGCAGGTTGAACATCTGCCGCAACCAATTCTGGAGCACATCTGCGGAGGGAAGTCTGCATGGCCACAAGATGCGTCCGGATGCAGCTGTCACAAATCAGAAGTGCCCAGTGCGGCTACGATGCCGAAGTCAGGCCCATTCCCAGCGAGAGCGCTCCCCAGTATCGACCTGTGACTCATCTCATGTGCAACTGCGCTGCTTGATGCCGCTGCAAAGCTTCACCATGTTGCCCCAAGACTAGGCACACATGAAATGGTAGCAATCGCCTACTCGATTTCTGCAGCTCAGACACAGAAAGCTCTCCCGTGCCACTGAAGCGGCCGCTGCATCGCAGGCGGCAAACCTTCCATCCATCTCAGCGTGCCTGACATATCCCATCTGCCCCGTTCTGGCAGCAGTGCTCGTCTTCAGTTAGCGAGGAACTATCTGGTTGTGACCACGGGTTGTTGGGACGGGCCCAGCCCAAAATCCTTTCGCTTCTGGTTCCAAACTAATTCAGGTCCCTCATCAAAGCCTACCCTTACTTACAGGAGGAAGCCCTGCACCACTTCGGATCCTCAATATGTTGCAATGTCATTGCAATTTCCCAGGATATAGGGTCTATGGCGTGGTGCAAGATTTCTTCCATCCACAATAGAAAATACCATCCATGATATCAGAGGTTGCAGAGGGAATTTTGTTGTCTTGGAAAGAGTTCTCCAAGCTCCATGATATGACCACTACCTCACTACCTGTTCTTGAACTTTTCGGAGGCCCAAGAACTTGTGGGAAGCCCGCGCCCCAAAGCGGTACTGCGGGTGCAATGATGACAAGCGTCCTCTGACGGCCCAAAAGACGCTTCACAAGCCATAAAAGGACCAACATAGTAAGCCCACAGATCCCAACAACCACCCCTCCAATCCCCATATTCTGCCAGCCTGCGTCGTCTTCCACCTTCAGGGCTGTCGGCTCATGGCCTGCAATCCCTGCCGCCCGCTTGGCATCTGGGTCTTCAGAGATCTCCTACTGCAGCTGGAGATGAGATTGCTCGCAGACAGTCTGTCTGAGTCTGTTTGATACACTCCCTTCCAGGTCTTGCAGGGAGACGACATGGCAGCGCAACTAATTCAGAGGAGTGTTTCAAAGGTTTTCAAGGTAACTTCTGCATCTCCGAGGCCAATGGCATGTAGGATCCGCGCACTTTCACTACTTTGACAAAAAAG